ACAAAGTTAGAGTCGTAAAGGCTGCATGATAGAAGGTAGCAACAGTTACGAGATTAGAAGGATTCCGACTACAANGAAGAACTACGCGATTTTGCTATGAAATCCCCACAGACGGCGCCAAATTGTTTGCTCAAAAGTTATCACATATCTTATGAGTGCAAAACAATACAAATAATCACGGGAAAATCATAGCAAATCGTAATAATTCATTGGACCAAATGAAAGAAACGAAAATAAGTACTCAGAATTAGGGGGAGAAACATTAAAAGCCTTTATTGATAATATTTGTTTGGTCTGCCTCTCCATGAAGAGGTTCAGAGCCTTACAATGGTGTTTTTCTCTTCCCATAAGATGAGTATATTTTTCCCTTCTCTCTCCTGTCTATAGTAGTGAAGAAGCAGCCCCCCTTTTCTAGGGTCCCCTCTCTTGGTATTTATAGCTGTGGGCTTCGTGAGCTGGCAATAAGTGGCCGTGACCACGTTGAGATCTTGCCTCTATAGTGGCGGATAGGCCAGGGCCTTGTTGACCGAGCCAGAGGCGGGTTGAACGTCGTCAATTCTAAGTGGTCGTGCCACTAATTAATCATGAATTAACTTAAAACGGGATTAGCCTCGTTAATTGTCGTGGGGTCGAATTCTGACCCATACAAGTAACTCAAATGACTAAATTTAGTGATATTTCGAACTCATAAAGTTAAATTTTTTAATCCGCCACCTTGTCAAGCTCAAGACAAACAGGTGGGGCCACTGAAAGTGACCACCTAATTGTCTTATAACCTCTCGTTAATTAATTTACTAATAGACAAATGAAAGTGCACTTCTTTATTTTCTTTATTTGTCTTCTTTTTCTTTGTCTCACCTTTTGGTGTGAGAGTTTGCCTTCTTGAAATTGATTCCGATCAACAAAAGCCCCACCCATAATGTACTTATTTAATTAATGGCTTCAACGAATAATTACTTTTTTTAGTTCACTTAATGGAGTCTATTTATACTAAATAACTTACCGAAATCTCTTTTCATCATCTCTCAATTTATTAATCTTTAATGCCGAAAAGAGGTTTTAAAGTTGCTACTTGTCGCTCGACTAAATTAGCTCTTTTGCTTTCTATGTTTTTGGTCATGAGCTCAAAGTATACCTGATTTAATGAAGGCGAACAGTGTCGGAGGCATGATTTTCACCAAGAAAATTTAAAAAAAAAAAAAGTAAATACGCAAAGAAGCCAAAAAAGTTCAACTTCTAGTATATATAAATTAAAAAAAAAAAGATTAACTTTATATACACAATATAATTTTTTATGGGATATTAATTATATCTCAATCGCCTACAACCAAAAAAATTATGTTCACCCTTCTTCGTAAAAGTAATTAAAGCTCCAAAACCTGTGACATCTAAAGCTAGAAAAGTAGAGTTAGAGGGATCCAATTTCTTGAGATTGGTACCAAGAGTCTTTTTGGTGAAATAGAACTTTGCTTCTTGGAACTTTTATTTCAAAATGTATTCCATTTCAATGGTTGGTCAGAACTTAGTTTGAGCAGATAATTATTAAAAAAAATTGGCCATAAGAAATAAAGGATTGTATTATAAAAAGGGAATTTGTAAATGCCAATAAAGAAATAATTTCTCTACTTCTTATCACTCCAAAAGAATTATTGGAATATTTTGGCCACAAGAATTGATAAAAATCATTCACAATTTTTATTCAATCTACTTGTTGGTAAGAGCACAGGGGAATAGCAAGGTGATCAAGTATAATTTTTTATATTTAAGATCATGTATAAACTAGAAGGTAGTTAACCATAATTAAGTACTAATAATTATATTTAAATATAGTGACAAGTGTCATTTATTTATTTGCTTGGTGTAAATATCCAATACAGATAAGTTTTTTCCCTTTTTGATTGTTTATTCTTCTTGGAAAGGTAGGTCACTGCCTATTCTTTAGCCTTTTTATTTTTCCCCTATTCATTTAAAATATCAACCGTCTAATCTTTGATAACTAAAATTTATTTATATGAGTTTCAAAAAGTATAATTAGTCTCAAGCATAGACAAAAGGGAGAATTGTACTAGGTTAATAGATAGGTAAATATACTAAAATGAATACTTTAACTGAATATAAATTATTCATCTAGCCTGACTCCAAACTATTGTATATATTATCTTGTCCACCTTCTAAGCATGTTTTAGAAAAACTTAATTTGTATTAAAAAGATGTTTGGTAGGAAAAAACGAAATCTTATGTTTCAAGTGAAAAAAAGAATGTATATATAATTTGCTCAATAACGGAAGATTGGTTTGACCTACGCGAGCTAGAGCTAATAAAATTTGTTGATCATTAATTAGCATAGTTGCAGTCAATCAAGGGGACATTTTGTCTGAGAATTAGATTACAAGCAAGGGTTTATGATTACGGGGTATTAAAATTATAAATTGTGCTTAACGTTAGGTAAACCTACTTAATTAATGACAATTTTCACCCTAGGTAATTAAGTAGAAACACTTGATTTAGTAGACACATCTCAACTCCAACGTGTGCCTACTTTCAACACTAATGACATCTTCTCGTTTTTTGCCCAACCATATGATTGTGCTGAAAAGTGGCTAATCCGTGTTATTGTTACTCTTTTCTGTTCATTTTAATTGATTTTTTGATCTTTTTTTATGTTCCATAATATTTAATATTTCAGAATTCAGATATCAAGAATAAATTAACTTCTTTTTTTCAAAGTTGTCCTTGGAGTAAAGACCCTAGGAGTATTTGTTATATTTCTAATGAATAAATTAAGGTTAATATGGGTAATTTCATTATTAATTAATGCTAAAAGATGGATTCCTTAATATGTATGAAAATAGCAAAAATATCTTTTAAAGTGGATCGGAGCAGGGGCGGATTTACATATAAAATTTGGGTGCTCGAGCACCCATTAACCTTGACACGGAGTATGTATAGCTATATAGAGATTTAGGAAAAAAGGATGTAATATAATCGTAAGTACCCACGTAAGAAAAGCGTGATGGGTGCTTTGGTTTATTCTTGTGCTGAAGGGCTCTAAAAGGCTAAGGTCGCGGGATCGATTCTCCTTCTGAGCAAGAATTGTTTTCTCTATCTTTTCTTATATTACTATTTTTCTTTTGCCCCAATTATTAGGTCATCTTTTTTGCTTTTTCAGTTTTCACTAGCGAATTTTTTTAAGCCAATGCTTCTACTTTATTCTTTTGCTTCTGACTTTGTTTTACTTTCTTTTGTTACTTTTTCTAATTCACTATAGCTAGAAAGATAAGAAACTCTGCTTTAAAAAAATAAAGAGTTCCTCCAAAATCGCAAAATTCACTAATTTTTTTTTTTTTTTTTTGCTAATTTTATTATTCATCACAGATTCACGGCGCCGGTAATATTAGTACTATAGTTTTGTCATTAATTTTTTATCGTCGTATTTAAATAGTTGCACACTTATACGATGTATTTATAATAACTTTTCAAAAAAAGTTGAACACCCACGAATTCAAAATCCTTGATCCGCACTGGATCGGAGGGAGTACAGATTTTTGAAGTTCTATTAAATTAGTAAAGATCCAACCGAAAAACGAAGAGCTTAACTTATTCAGACAATTGTAATTTTAATTACTATTAGATCAAGCTAACCTACAATAATAGATAATTATTCACAGTAACTTTATCAATAAATTACTTAATCTCTATCTTGTTAAAATAGATTAAAAACGAAAAACTAATTTTGCAATCAATATGTAAATACACGAACGGAGGTAGTAAAAAGTCAAACAAAGCTGTGACTAAAAAAGTCAAATAAAGCTGTCGGCAAAGCTTCATCTCCACGTGTCATTGGCAGTAGTAAAGAAAATAAAATTGGAGAAAGTAACAAAAAAGAAGCAGCAGTTCCTAGGTGCGGCGATCGGCGGGAAAATACTTAAACAAATAAACATGGACAATTATTTTCTACTATTAAAAATAAAACGTAACCGTTCCATTAAACAACATGACAAATGACTATGGCCCCGCCAACCGTGTCACTGTATATTCTTCTTTTCCTAACTATAGAAAAAATGACTTTTCTTCTTCAATTGTAACTAATAAACTAATCGAAAAATTCATTAAGTCTAAGAACTTAAGAAGCAACTATGCATATAGCTCCTAAGGCTAGAGACAGACCCAGGATTTGAAGGTTAGGGGTGCATTTTTGGATTTAACTAAAATTTGATTGTATATAGGATACCAACCAGGGACGAATTTAGGGGGGCGGAAGGGGTTCACCCGAACCCCCTTCGCTGAAAAATTACACTGTTTATATAAGGCATAATATATTTTTTATCTCTATATATTATGTTTTGAATCCCCTTGACAAGTTGACATAGCCCAAAAGCATAGCTTAGTGGTCAGGAGGTTCAAAACCTTTGAAAGGTCATTGGTTCAATTTCCAATGGCTATATTTTTTTGACTTTTTTCTTTTTTGAACCCCGTTAGCAGAAATCGTGCCTTTGCCACTGGTACCAACTACTAATATATTACTATTTTCTAAAGATATATACATGTATATATAGAGTTTCGCCGAACATTACGAGTGTCTGCTTCTGCCTAGGGTGCAGTTTAGAGCTTAATGGAGTGGATTGAGAATTATGAGGTTTCACATGCAAATTCCAGGGACGCATAAAAAAGGTGATTTCATCCAATCTGTTTAATTAACCCTTGGTAAATAGAATTGCTCGGTACTTGTATTAATAGGGAGTATCAGGTATACCCCTAAAATTAGTCGAGATGTGCATAAGCTGACTTGAACATTGCATTATTAAAATAAACTTAAGAAACAATCATATAGTATAAAAATGGAATAATATAAACTAGCATAACAAATTCTTATTGACTATTGCATAAGCCATTAATAATTGTCCCCTTAGAACCCAACACACAGACCTTTGATGTCCCTACTTTCAGACTTATAAGACTTCTCTAAATCCACCATTTAGCCCCACTTTACATTTCATATCTCCATCATTTCCTAGTGTGCTCGTGCACCCCATTTCTTTCTTATTTTCTCTCTTTTTTCTACCTTCTTTTCTATTTTGCTTTCTAAATAATTTTTAGGCTATATTGGCAATGGCAACTGGGACAGGGTCATCACCTTGTGGTGCATGCAAATTTCTACGGCGAAAATGTGCTATTGATTGTATTTTTGCACCTTATTTTTGTACAGAAGAAGGTCCTGCTAAATTTGCTGCAATTCACAAAGTGTTTGGAGCAAGCAATGTATCTAAATTGTTGTTGCATGTTCCTGTTGCTGATCGTTGTGATGCTGTTGTCACTATTGCTTATGAAGCTCAAGCTAGGATTAAAGATCCTGTCTATGGTTGTGTAGCCAACATCTTCGATTTGCAACAACAGGTAACTCAACATCTTGCCAGTAGTTTTAGTATTATTCCCGTATTTTTCTTATACTAGATTTCTATTACAATATGTTATTTCTTTTGCTAACGTACCGTTATTTTAATATCTTGCTGTTGATACCGTTTCTTTGTTGCTTTTTCACTACTGCACTTCTTTTAAACATTGCTATAAATGACTGTTCCTTGCTTGACCCGATGATCTATTGAAAATAATCTGTCTACCTTCGCAAGGGAGGTATAAAAGGCTGCATACACACTATCTTCTCTAGACTCCATTTTTGGAATTACACTGCGTTTGTTGTTGTTGATTCGCCACTACCCCTTCTCATTTGCTTTCGATTGTAATATATATATATATATATATATATATATATATATATATATATATATATATATATATATATCTCAGCAGATTCTTAGTAGTGTTCCTTAAACCTTTGAAGAAATCAGATATTTGCAAAAGTATGATTATATATACCAACTTGCTGTTCATGGAAAAAATCTCTTTCCAACTAGCAAAGTATGATTAATAAGTGATTTCTTTCTTATAATTTACTAGTTTTAATGGCTAGAAACCATCAGTAATACATTCTTGTGTTACATCGAATGTCATCATGTTTGACGTCTCAAAACTACTTATTCAGATCAAAGATCAAAATAACGCAGAGATATTCCATCAAGAGTTAAAATAAAAAAGCCAAAATTCCTGTCCATAAAACAAAAGTTTAATTTCACGTATGAATACCACTGGACTTCATAAAGTCATAAATCTATTTTTCATCGCATTAATGTAAGTGACTATATTCAGTATAATAATAAAGTTCAGTTATTTTAATATATTGTGACTTTACTGTTATAATTGGTAAGATTCAATTAATGACCGTGAAATTAACCCTTATATTAAAACAAATAGTCGTAGTATTTTTGCCCTAGTAGTAATTTCTCAAAGCCTTGTTCCGGAAATTGATTTGTTCTTGTTATGTGATCACGCCCAACTATGCTTTATAAAAAGGACTCTGCGGACGTTGCAAATATAACCCGAGTATTACGCCCAGGGTCGAATCCACAGAGAGTTAACCTATCAACTGCTATCTTCAGCCCCACTAAGTCTTCAGAACCAGCTTCCCAAATATTCAAATCTCAGTTGAGTGTCTTTAACAACTAGCTTGCAAATACCTAAATGGCTGTAACTAAGTAAAAATAAAGGTTGTAAACAATTATGAGAAAAAGCTAAGGCAATGATTTCCCCTATTGATGGAATCCCTTCTGTTTATGCTCATACAAATTTACCCACACATCTCTATCAATCATGAACGCTAATCTTACCGTAAATCTCTCCCGAGTAATCACAGTAATTTACTATTGCACTCTCCTGAGATACACTAGCTTACTTTATTTAGCACAATTCAATTTAGATTGCACTCAAGCTTCGTATCCTAATCCCGCTTTAAACCCGCAATTATAGATTCCTCTAATAATCTAGGAGTGGTGTTGTTCAACAATACCCTAAATATGCACTCTTTTCCAAGTTATGCACACTAAATAGGCACAGCTAATTGAGGATCCTGTCAATTAACTACAACGAACACGAAGTTGAACAAATAAAGATTAAACTAGCAATTTGTATTCACATAAACAAGAAGTTCATCACCCAATAGGTTCCATCAACACCTTAGACAAGGAATTTAGCTACTCATGACTATGGGAACATAAACTAAGCTTGAATTCATCATAAAATCAAAAGAAAAGAAGAAAGATGTTTAGAGTACTTTCTCACAATTATTTTCCTTGCTAAGAAACCTAAATAATCAATACATGCCTCTCTTGGGCGAAGTCTCATGTTTTAAATAGGGTTTAGGTCTAAAAATCCCGTAATTGACACTTTGGTCCCAGAAGTTTCTGCGCCTGCCGCGGTCGCGGTAGAACCGCGGCCAAACACCCTCGCGGAATCTCTGAACTTCTGCAGCTGCTTCCCACCGCGGTTCTGCCGCGGTCGCGGTGGAACCGCGGTGGATCCAGTTCTCTGAATCTTCGGCCTGTTTTTGCACGGGTCACTTAGGAAATTTCACAGTTTGCCTCTTTTTCATCACTTTTGACTCCAAAACTGCTCCTTAGCCGTCTTTATACATATATCACCTACAAATCATGAAAATCACTAATAAGAGCATTTTGTCATCACTTTTAGCATTAAAACTACACAAGAAGGTGATTATTTAAGGTGTGATTATAGACAAATTCACCTATTATCAACACCCCACACTTAAATCTTTGCTCGTCCTCGAGCAACTAAACCACACTTCTCGACCTAATTGCTCAATGCATAGCCCCAATTTATGTCACACCTGCTATAATCAATGATCGACCCAAGCAGTGCACAATCGTATCTCGAATGCAGACTCTCATACCAGACACACTTGTGCTCACTCTAATTACTCTAACAGAAGTGAAGACTCACTTTTTCTTCCTGAGTCACATGCCCTCACATAAACAAAATCTGAGAGAAGTTCCACACACATAAAATTCAACAATAAGGAACCATATATGGAAAGAATTCACTCACTCTCAGCAAAGAGCATTCACATGCCACACAGACACACCATAAGCTTGCCCCTAGTGTAATACTCCACTAATCGAGCCATTCAGTCCAAGATCAAGAGGTCTTTATATGTTGTAATGTAGGCTAAGGGACGGGTAGGATATATTTGGATATAGTGACTAACCTCCCTAAGCACTTTTAATGCACACTTCTTTTTTTTTTTCTTCTTTTTTTTTTTTTACCTTTATGCTCAACCCGATCATTACTCCACATTTTGTTTCACTTGTGACCCCCACTTTTCGTTAGGTCCAACTGGCTGCTTCTTTTTTTTTTTTTTATATTGATTGTACACTGCCAGTTTACCAACCAAAACCTTCATTCTTGATTCCCCTTTTTTCACCAACTCTCTCCCACCCCACACTTTGACTTTTGTATATTCTTTAGTGATTCAAGTGCTTCTAGGAGGTAACGGTTCAAACAATTAGCTTATTCAAACATAGCGATTTAGATCATTATAGGGTTATCAAAGAATAGGCTTCAGGCTCAAAGGGGTTAACTATGGTAATATTCACAGGTGGATTCTCAAGTATAAAGGGTTGCACAAAGAAATGCCTCAATCATCTCTAAAACCAAACGACTTCTATTTCGCTTTGCAAACACACAGGGCAAGTTCTAGGTATCATATGCAAGCATAG